CATTTCCCTTGGTCTTCTTAAAGGAAAACCCATCATGGATGCCTGCAACCTCACCATACTCATTTCCCCATAATATACGGTGTTCAGGTGTAGCCTTCTGGTCCTCTATAAGGCCCTGTTTCCATGACAGACCCAGCCTTTAGGCCCAGCTGTTAAGAAGCACAAGCAGCTTCATAGAATAGCAAGAAAAGTCCTTGCCCCAGTGCAGATCAAAGCCTCCAGCTTCAGCAAAGAGCAACGCCTGGGTTGGGAGCTGCTGGAGGACTGGGTCCGCCCTGTCCCATGCCATGCTACCCTGCTGAGCTGAGATTTCTCAAGAAAATAAAATGGTCTCTAGAGACAGCCACAGGGAGTGCCACTGGCCATCCAATTTAGCTGAAAAGTTCCCACCCAGCCCCTGCCAGAGCCTTTGCCACCCACAAGCAAAGTTCAGCCTGTTGCTAAGGCAACAGAGACTCAGACATGTTTAGGCATCTGTAGAAACCAAGCCAAAGTACAATTTCCACACTTGTGATAAAAACACAGGCTGCCAAGCACACAGCCAAGCATTACTCTTAAATTTGGTCTTACTGACAGAATAAACAGGGTCGGGAAGCAGGAAGCTCCCAGTGCCTAGCAGAGCCAATAGTCAGGCTAGCCCCAGAGTGCTGGCACTAAAAACCTGCTTGTGCCAGGGAACAAAGGCCTGTTGTGCCCCTGTGTTGTCTGAGATGGTTTCCTCTCATTTTACCTCCATATGGACTAGTCTTTTGCTTCGTTCAGCTGTGAACACCAGCTTTATGAGAAGAGGAACTAAGATTGAGAGTTTTGCCCATGGTGAGGCCAGATATGTGAAGAGGAAACTGCTTCCATGGGAGGGGTGGATGTGGGAGGCACAACTGTCCAAGGTGAGAACAGAGGTGGGTTAGTCTGGTCATAACCTCCGTACCAGGAGCCCCCACCCTATCCACCCAAGAAACACACAGCTTGTCCTTTGCAAACCCTGAGAAATGAGCAAATAGGATACTTCTTAGTCTTCCATAAGACAGTAAAAGGTGAAAAAGCCAGCCAATGGGAAACGACACAGTAGACTTCAGCAAAGAATGAACAAGCAAGCAAACAGTAACAACAGAAACATGAGCAGGTTACATAACTCTGGTAGAGTGCCTATCTGTAGCAATGAAGAGAAGCTGAAGCATCTGTGAGAATGGCACCCCTGTCACAAAGGCAAAGTCCAAAGGATTATGTGACTCCAGGCTGCCATGACCTCTGAATGATTCCAGTGCCAACTGCCTTGCCCAGTTCTTCCCAATTCACAGACTGCAAATGTGGAGACGCAAACCAGGACAAGCATGATCAGCTACTGTGGTTCCGAGCAGTCTGACCACTCACAGCCTCGGGAAGAGGACCACTTGCTCACCTCACTGGTAAAAAGTAGAAGTAGCAGTAGGACTTCTTCCATCTTTTTAGTGCTTAGTGCTAGGAACTGACCATACTCACAGAAGCTCTACCACTAAGCTACAACCCAGCCCCCTCCCCCACAAAGGGCTTGCTTACTTCATGTTGGTGAAAGGAAAGCATCCCCTGCAAGAAGAGTGCACCCAGATTAGGAAGGGAATGTAACTCATTCAAGAAACCCTCATGAGAGTTTATCTCGTGGATACTGCAAGTTCCAAAGACCAAGACACCCAACAGGAAGAAATCCCCAGGGTTTTCTTTAGTCTAAAATTCTAGAAAAACAGACTTACAAGAATTCAGGTCTCAGCACTCTAAAGTGTGTATAGCTTTAAAGCCATTCCTGGGCATTTCTTTTCAGGAACTAATTACATAGACAGGAAGGAAAGAAGGGAGAGAGGGAGGAAGGAAGGGAAGGAGGGGGGAAAGAAAGAAGGAAACTCAAATTGTAAACTACAAATTCATCTAATTAGCAAAAAGGTGGAAATAACCTAAAATGCCCAGCACCAGGGAATGTTTCAATCTCATACAGCCAACAAGATAACACTGGAAATCTTTTAAGGGGCTGGAGATGTGGCTCTCTTGGCAGAATGCTTGCCTTACAAGAGCTAGGCCCTAGATCTGATCTCCCAACAATGCAAAAGAAAAAAATACTCAATGAGGGCATTTAGGGCAGACATGGTGACATGGGGGAAAAAAAGAAAAAGAAAAAGGCATGGGCCATCTAGTATCTAGATTCTAGACAGTTGAGCAGATAAGAGTACTTGTTCCCAAGCCTGAAAATAAGAAGCTGAGCCCCAGTACCTCCATAAAAGCAAAACGAAACAAAACAAAAACAAAAACAAAAATTTCTGCAAGTTGCCCTTTGGCCTCTGCATGGCATACCATGGTAGATACACATACACATGCACATGTACGCACACAGAGGGGAGGGGGAATATAATTTTTTTAATATTCAGTCATTTGGAACAAAAAATGGCAATTAGTTCAAGCATAACCATCAAGTACCTGAGCCAAGTGTGATGATGGCATAGGCCTGTCACCCCAGCAGGATCTTGAGTCTGAGGCCAGCCTGGGCTGAACAGTGCAACCCTGTATCTGTAAGCAAAGCTACGCAGTCAGAACATATGCTCTCAGGTATCCACCCAAATGATCATCTAACATCATAAGGCAACCAAGTGAGTTCTCCCTCAGCTGCCTCCTCAGGACAACTGTGGAAGATGGAGCAACAGCACCCACCAGGCCTCTGGAACTCTGAGAACCCTGTTCCTCCACCCTCTGACCTCATCAACTGGGAGAGATACATGTGGCTGACCTAGTCCTAGCTTGTGATAGCTCCCTTCCTACCCTTATAGACTCCCTGGTTTTGTAAACTGTGAATTTTTAGGTTTTCTTAATTGGGTTAGTGAACATGGCCTGCCTTAAATGAAAAACACATAATTTGCCCCATTTCTATGTTCCTCAGAGGCAGGGAGGAATTTTTAAAGATCCTTTTCATAATTAAGGGCAAGTGACTCAGAATATTTACTCAAGGTGGCAAGATAAAGGAACACTTGTATGGGCTTCAGGGTCAGTTCTGACAGCAACCCTCTGAAGGTCACTTTTGTGACCTTTGGGTTGATTACTCCTGGATGAAGTGGGGTGTTCACCAACTGGTTGTAAGAACTCAATGGGCAGAAATATAAAACTTCCACGGTCTCTCAGAAAATCCAGAACACAGTGTACCCCATGGCTACTGGTTCTGTCACCAACCATGCCAATCTTACCATGGCACATGCCCAGCCTCCTTATCTGATGATATATTTGTTGGTACAGAGGTCACAAGCGCTTATAATTAAAAACATCATCATACTCAAGCTAACTGGTGCCCAGGCAAGCCAGCTTCAGCAAACCAGTGAGCTACAAAATCCACTAATAGCGGGCTTGGAGGTCTGCGTGGGAAGAGAGCCTGACCACAATTCACAGTCATGGCACACTCAGCTAGAGACAGCATAATTTGATATAATGAAACACAAACATAGTTTGAAGTCTGAAAATGTTCACAAACTACAATTTGAACATCATTTTAAAACAATAAAATTTCATTTCATTCAAGAGACAACTTAGAAAACTAGTCACAGCTGATTCTAGACACCATAGACTACCCTGCAGGTCCAGGCAAAGGCCCTGTGACTGTCTACCCCTCATGTGGAGTCTAGGTCAGTGGCCTCAGAGAAGCCACTGAGCCTTCCAATTCTACCTCTTTTTGTCTTTCTTCTGAATCATGAACAAGGGAAACCAACAACCAATAAAGCTGTTCTGAAATCAAAATGAATGCTATGGGAAAGTTCATAGTCAACTACCAATAGTGCACAGCCAAGTTACACTGATAACACACTTAACCTAAATTATGAAGTCAATTAAAACTTAAACATTAATTCTGAAAGTAAAAGGGTAAGAGCACAGTTCAGAACCCCGATTCCACAGCCTGAGCTATTGCTGCTTCATGTAAGTTTAACCCTATTTCCTCCATGGATCCCTGTGCACACAGCTTGATCCTTGATCTTCTCAAGTCTTTTTTTACTTGGATGTCCCATTCACCCAGTCACATGCTCCTTTCCCCCTAAACACTAGGTACAATCACAGCAATACTTCTTCATCACTGGGACAGGCCTGTATGACCATCACATTAAACTCAAGCACAGCATCATCAAGCCAGGAGGCAGGGCAGGGCTGTCCTCAAACACAGGCAGGATGCACCCATCTTCTGTTTGTTTTGAGACAGGGTTTTTCTGTGTGGTCATAGCTGTCCTGGAACTCACTCTGTAGATCCGCCTGCCTCTGCCTCCTGAGTGCTGGGATTAAAGGCATCCACCACCACCTGGCTAGGATACTGATCCCTAGTCTCACTCCCATCAAGGGGACAGAAGCAAACAAAACCTCAGAGTAGTGCAATGAAGAGAACATATGTCCTGCCAAGGTCATGAGATTCCACAAAGGGGCTCACCCATCCTGGTGACCCTGATAGCATCCCTGTGACCTTGAGTCACCAAAAAATGTCCTAATGAGTACTCTGACTCAAGAAAGAATAATACATTTGTAAAAGAACTGGATAAAATAAATCCAATACAAGTACTTTAGGGTTTTATAATTTACAAATTTACCTAATTATCATGCTGAGTGATACAAAATGACTAAGTACCATAGACTGAGCTCTGCGTCTGTGACTGCACAACACCTACCACAATCCAGAGGGACCCACTCCAAATTCCCATACTCAAATTCTAGTGTCAATATCATGATACTTGGAGATGGAAGCTAATTAGGTCATGGGGGTGAAGTCCCCAAGAATGAGCTCAGTGCTCTTGCTTAAGAGGGTACTCAGGCCAGGCAGTGGTGGCACATGTCTTTAATCCCAGCACTCAGGAGGCAGACATACATGAGGGTCTTTGTGAGTTTGAGGCCAATCTGGTCTACAGAGCAAGTTCCAGGACAGGCTCCAAAGCTACACAGAGAAACCCGTTCTCAAACCCCCTCCCCCAAAAAAAGAAAAATGAAAAAAGAAGGAACTCAGAGAGCTCCCTTACCCTTGTTCAGCTGTGTAAGAGAAGCACCAGAGGTTGGATCTATACCCAGAAGAGAGCCCAGCACTATTGCATCCTCACTTCAGGCTTCCGGACTCCAGAACTTTGAGGAACAAAGGAACAAGATTTGTGTTTTTATAAGCAAATGCTAGAGCACTATGTTATAGCAGTTCAAAATAAGACACCTAGTCTCTGAAACGTTGAACCATTTGACCAGGCGTGGCGTCTACCTGGTGGCAGACCACCAAGGGTCGTCTGGCTCTAAATCCATGCTTCTGACCTCTAGTTCATTGCTGCACTGTTGCCTTTTCTCATCTGCAGGAGCCAGCCTTACAGACTTGTAAGAGTAAGCCAATCAAAACAAAAACAGGACCCAGGCTATGTGAACACCCTCCCCACCCCAACAGCATAAGTGAACATTTAGACAATGGAGTTGAATCAATGACTGAGGTCAACCCTCCCTGGAAGCCCCTTTATTACAAAATTAAACCACTGCTTTCCAGGAGCTGCCAAGGCAATCCTCAAGACTTTGAGGACACTGGTGAGCACTGAGAGAAGGAGAAATCAGATTCACACTTCTCCCATCCATTCCCCGACTTCTCAACTGGCCTCAGTTCTGACAAGATCATCCTGCCCATACCCTGGAAGGCTCCCCACTGAATCCACTCTCCAGAGTAAAGTCTAGACCCTAGCCATGTCCTACAAAGAGCACATCCTGAAACTGTCCTCCCACCACACTCAAGAACCCCACACACCACTTGCATCCACATTCTTGATGACTCTGGAGCTCACTTCCGGCAAAGACCTCCTTGCTGGAGTTAAGTTCTGCTGCATGCTGAGCACAGCCAGACCAGTACTTCTCTATATCTCTTTCCAGGTCGACCCATTTCTATCTGATACTGTCATAGTAAAACATAATTATTCTAGACCCAGCTGTTTCTATAAGGCTTGAGACCTTAATCCTGGAATACTAGAGCTATGAGCTGAACCAGACACCAAGATGTTTACATAACAGTAGCCAGAATGCACCCCTTCAATCCACCTTGCCTATTCTCCCTTCACACACAGATGTCCCAGACAACTAAGATATATTCCAAATGCTCTCAGGCCAAGGACAGTTGTCAAGTAAGACCCCTCTTAATATAAACTCTAAAATCGTTAAGACAAGAAGATGAGTTCAAAGCCTGCCAGGCTATGTTCTCTCTTAAAAAAAAAAAAAAAAAAAAAACACAGGGCCGGGCGGTGGTGGCGCACGCCTTTAATCCCAGCACTTGGGAGGCAGAGGCAGGCGGATCTCTGTGAGTTCGAGACCAGCCTGGTCTACAGAGCTAGTTCCAGGACAGGCTCCAAAACCACAGAGAAACCCTGTCTCGAAAAACCAAAAAAAAAAAAAAAAAAAAAAAAAAACACAGGGCTATTGGGACTAGACTGGAAAGACAGCTCAAGATGGCTCGATAGTTTTGGTTTTTTGTTTTTGTGCTTTTTTTTGTTGTTTGATTTTTGAGACAGGGTTTCTCTGTAGTTTTGGGGCCTATCCTGGAACTAGCTCTTGTAGACCAGGCTGGCCCCGAACTCACGGAGATCTGCCTGCCTCTGCCTCCTGAGTACTGTGATTAAAGGTGTCTGCCACCACTGCTTGGTGAGACGGTTCAATAGTTAAGAGCACACATTATTCTTCCAGAGGTCCCACATGGAAGCTCACAACAATCTACAATTCTCACCTAATTGGACCACAGTCAAACATGTGCTACCCATATACATGCAATCAAAATACTCAGACATAAAACAAATAATTAAAAAAAACAAAGGGACTATGAAGATGGCTCTGCATAAGGGTAATCAAATACAGAACTGACAACCTGAATTTGATCCCCAATCACACTAGACAACAAATAAAAAAACAGGTTCCCAAGGGTTTTCCTCAGACCTCCACAAGTACATGCCTGCAGAAAATCACACACACACATTAAAAACACAAAGTAGGCACATACCTTTAATCCCAACATTCAGGAGGCAGTGGAAGGTAAATCTCTGTGAGTTTGAGACCATATGCATCTAAGAAGAAAGCAGAAAGCCCATAGAAGGAAAAAAAACCCAATGTATGGTGCCAGTTCCTGATGAGAGTAAGTGGTTGTGAATATAGTGGAGTCAGTGAAGGTTTGTGGCAGGTGCATTCTGCACCCTGCTGCATAAAAGCAGCAGACTGGTGCTCCCAGGCTGTTTCAGGTCTTACTGCCAGGAAGCCTCACTTCTGCACCAGGCTCTACTTTGGATAATTATCTACTGCTTAAGGTTTCAGAACCGACTATTTGCCATTAACCTCTACCAAGTTTCTCTGCAAGGTAAATCCTTTCCTGGGGAGGCTTCTCATCTCAAAGCAGAACTATATATGATTGCTTTGTCTTCTCTAGTATTTAAGGAACCCACCTGAAGTGAGCAGATACAGACACACCCACACTTTTTATTTTATGCACATGCATGTTTGCCTGCATGTGTGTACCACATGCATGCAGTACCCACAGAAGCCAGAAGAGGACATCAGATCACCTGCAACCGGAGTTAACAAGAGGTTGTTAGCCACTATGTAGGTGCTGGCAATTGAACTCTGGTTCTCTGGAAAAAGAACAGTGCTCTTAACCACCGAGCCATTTCTCTAGCCCACAAGCAGACACTTTTTCCATGCCACAATCACAAACTCGTTGGTTGACTCCTGATAAGCATCGGGATGACATGATAGGAGGACAGGGGAATCCTCCACACTAACCATGCTTGAGGGAGACTCTACTCAATACAGTATTACAAATGCCAATGCCTGAGTAATCAACACATCTGACCAGGTTGTTTATTTTCATCAGAAATAAGCCAGTGAAATGGTGTCTTAGTCACTGTTCTATTGCTGTGAAGAGACACCATGAGCAAGGCAACTCTTACAAAAGAAAGCACTTAATTGTAGCTGGCTTGCAGCTTCAGAGGCTTATCACCACAGCAGAGAGCATGGTGGCAGGCGTGGTGCTGGAGAAGTAGCTGAGAGCTACATCCTGATCCTTATGCAGAGCCTGAGATTGGGCCTGTCATGAGCTTTTGAAGCCTACCCCTAGTGACACACTTCCCCCAACAAGGCCACACCTCCTAAGCCTTCTCAAATAGTGCCACTCCCTGATAACTAAGCATTCAGCTATATGAGCCTATAGAGACCATTCTTACTCAAACCACTACAGATGGCTTGGCAGGTAAATGCACTTGTTGTGCCCATAACACATACATACATACACATGTACACAGAATAATATATTTTTAAAAATAAGGGGAAAAAAGTCATTTAACCTGGGCAGTTTTTAAGTTTCCTGTCCTTTCTTAAACACTTGCTTTTTATACAGTTGAGACTCTGTGATATAATAAACAAACAATCTGTAAAGCACTAGGAGCCTGACACAGTCCCAAGAAGCCACTGTTGGGACAGTCATGGTCACTGGTTATTTGAATGAGAAGGGCACCCTTAGACTCTTATGTTTGAATGCCTGGTACCCAGTCTATGGAAATGCTTAGGAAGAATTAGGAGGTGTGGCTTTAGGAACAGGTGTGCCACTGGGAGAGGGTTTTTAGCTTACAAAAGCCCATGTCACCATTCCCAACATACACTCTCACACACACACACACACACACACACACACACACACACTGCTTCCTACTTTCTGATCAAGATGTGAGCTCTTAGCTGTTCCTACCACCATGCCTTTGCTCTGCCATCATGGATTCTAACCCTCTCTTTCAGTAAAGTTGCCTTGGTCAAGGTGCTTTAGCACAGCAACAGAAAAAAAAAAAAAAAAAGACCAACACAATTCATACCCAACTTCAAATTACTTGGGGATTCTGGCTCAGGGAGGCCATACTTGGGTAGGTCAACTCCATGACTTGAGATTTTTTTTTTGTCTCAAGACAGGGTCTCACTGTGTAGCAGTGGTTGTCCTGGAACTCACTCTGTAGACCAGGTGGCTTCCAACTCACAGAGATCCACCTGCTTCTGCCTCCCATGTGCTGGAATTTAAAGGCATGTACTACCAGGTCTGACTCAATTTCTAATTTCCACCTAACATTTATTAACTTCACAGCTTTTTCAAGTGCTAAGCAACTGAGAAGTAATCATTTAAATACACTCTTTAATCAACAAAAATTTTTAAAAAATTAAATAAGTCTACCCAAAGCCCTCAAATTCTACAAATTTTCCCCTCTGAAAAAGGCTAAAAACAAAAACGAGGGGACTAGAGATGGCTCACTAGTTAAGAGCACTGGTTGTTCTCTCAGAGAACCCAGGTTCAATTCTTAGCACCTATATGGCAGCACATAACTGTCCATAACTCCAGCTCCAGGAGATCAAAACACACACATGGTGCAAGCAGAATACTAATATACATAAAATAAAAAGTAAAGGTTAAAAAATTTGAAAAAATTAAACAAGTAAGTTCTTCGTTGTCAAGACAGCAAGGTGTTTAGGATTCAAATTCCAAAGGAAAAACAGTCCTTCGGTGGACGAACAAAACTTCTTTTTCAAGTGACATTCAGGGCTATTTATGATGCCAACAACTCATCATGGCAACCACCAAGCGAACAGAACCTAAAAGAAAAACCCCAACTTGGCATCCAGGAGCCCAAGTTCTGTACCCAGAATGGACTCTACAACACTATGGCCAGGACTGACACCACTTTAACACAACTCAACTCACTCAAATGTTTGAGTACAAAATAATGGGAGGACAACCCTTTGGAATGTGTGTCCTCCAGTATGTATATCATCATTATTATTAGCTCCAAGATGTCAGAGAAAATAGGATTACAGATTCTCTGAGGCAAGAGGTAGCTTAGGAAGCTATGCTCACCACCCCACCATCATGTCAGGAGGAAGACGGCTTAGGGCTGGAATGTGGCAGTCCTTACCCTGGATGCTGGCCCCCAAGTTGTTCACACATGTGCTTCTTTTCCTGGGCTGGGGAGAGGGTGTCTCATAGCTGTTGTCAGAATTTCAAAGGTTAAGAACTTCTAAGTCAGGCTGGAGCGATGGTTAAGAGCACTGGCTACTCTTCTAAAGGTTCTGAGTTCAATTCCCAGCAACCACATAGTAACTCACAACCATCTGTAATGAGATCTGGTTGCCTCTTCTGGCCTGCATGCATACATGCAGGCAGAACACTGTATACATAATAAATGAATAAATATTAAAAAAAGAACTTCTAAGCCCCTCATCTTACATATATAAATACTGAGACACCCTGAGATGCATATTATCCTAACCTCATAGTGGAGGGAAGGCTATAAAGAGTCCAGGGTTTCCGGTCTCTATCCATCTCCCACTCTGTCATCTGGTATTCTAGGAATGGAGAAAAATTACATTAAAGTAGATGTAATGGTTCAAGCCTGAAATGTCAGCACTTGAAGGGCTGAGGCAAGAAGACTGACTTGATTCTGAGGCCAAGGACAGCCACACAGTAAGTTCCTCAATACCCCAGCAAGATTCCTTTCTAAGATGGTCACTGAGGACTCTGATAGCTGTTACCACTGTATTCTGCTGCTGAATCTCCTTCTCCTTCTAGCTCAGTGCCTGGACCCAAGAAAAGACTGAAATTTTTTAATGAGCTGGAGGCACAGCTTAATGGCAGATAGCTTTCCCAGTTCCAGTCCCAGACCAAAGCGGAGGAAACCTGGGGGAGGGCGCGTAAAGAATAAAAAAAGCAGAGGTTGGGAGTATGGTTCAGAAGGTAAAGGTACCTGCCATCAACCCTTACTTACAACCCGAGTCAAATCCCCAGAATCCACAGGGTGGAAGGAGAAAACTAACGAGAACTAACTCCTACAGTTGTCTTCTGACTGCCACATGCACACTGTACATATCCAAACACACACACTAAATAAATGTATTATCTTCTTCAAAATAGAACTTCAAAATAGAAGTTTTTATTTTTTTTAAATGAAAATTAAAAATCTGGACAGTTCAGCAGGTAAAGACACTTCCTGCCAAGCCTGACAATTTGAGTTCCATCCCTGCTAACCACACATAGAGGAGAAAAACAACTCCTGCAAGCTGTCCTCTGACCTCCACATGTACATCATGGCATATGCATAGTGCATGTATGTATATGAGCATGTATATATACATACACACGCGCGCACACACACACACACACACACAATAAATAAAATGTCTTTTAAAAAGATGCAAACCTCGGTCAGGCCATGGTGGCGCACGCCTTTAATCCCAGCACTCGGGAGGCAGAGGCAGGAGGATCTCTGTGAGTTCGAGACCAGTCTGGTCTACAAGAGCTAGTTCCAGGACAGGCTCCAAAACCACAGAGAAACCCTGTCTCGAAAAACAAAAACAACAACAAAAAATGTCTGGTTGTGTAGAATACCTGAAGAACTATCTTTGTTGAGATAGGGTCTCACTACACAGTCAAGCTGGCCTCAGACTAGGGTAGGATTACAGGCAAGTGGCCAGTGGGAGAACTATTCTGTGCGTTGTGTGTACATGTGCAGGCCAGAGGTTGATGTCAGGTACCTTCCTTGATCACTATCCACTGCATTTTTTTTAAAGATTTCTTAATTTTATGTGTATGAATGTTTGCTTGCATGCATGCACGTGCACCATGTACATGTCTGGTGCCCTCAGAGGTCAGAAGTGCAAGGTCCCCTGGGACTGGAGTTACAGATGGTTATGGTACCATGTAGGCGCTGACAATTAAACCCTGGTCCTCTCTGTAAGAGTAACAAATGCTCTTAGCCACTTAAGCCATCTCCCTGCCCCCTCCTTACTGTTTTGTTGAGAGTTAGAACTCAGGTGTCAAGTTTCCTGACTGAACCATCCCCCAGCCCTAGGAGACCAATTCTTTTAACCAATGAATATTAAAAATCAAAAAAAAAAAATGCTCAAACAGCCATCCCAAAAAACCACCACTGAGAGCCACCAGGAACAAGTTTAAGGCCCACTTAGACCACACTCTCAGAGTTACCTTCAGGTATGAGGAGGATGAGCAGAGGTCATAAAGGACTCTGTCCCTAGTATGCAAATCGACTCAGTAGCTAAGCCCTGCCTTCCTTGGCTGCCTTCAGGTATGCAGCTGTGGTTCCAAACAACTGGAAAAACACTGAGCAGCCACTACAGCTCATGTGAACACAGTTATTACCTACATAATCTAAAGGGTGGCTTCCAGAAGGCCAAGTACAATGGGATGGTAAATAAGGCAGGCCAGAAACCCCTGGGTTTCAGGTGATGTTGGCCAGAGAGCACTTTGGTCTGTTTCACAGGTGTCACAACAGTTAGCAATTTTACTACTATTATTTGATATTCCATAACATCCTGCAAGGATTGAGTGATGACCCTTTTCAGAAGCAGGAAGTCTAAGAATCAGGCCTTAACCCATGAACATGGAGTTTCAGGGAAGAAAAAAGAATAGGAAGATTAAGGGTGGCCAGGTATGGTATTACACGCATTTAGTCTCTGTGAGTTCCACGTCTGCTAGTCTACATAGCAAGATTGTGTCTAAAAAACAAAACAGACAAACAAAATCCCACAAAACTAAGGGAAAATGCCTCTGCTCCCCCTAGAAACGCCTGGCCATCAGAGATCTGTGCTGGCTCTCAGTATCAAGGGAAAGCCTCTATCAGGCAGGATGGAAACCTAGATGTTCTATCTTACATACACACACTTTTGGATTAATTATTATGTTCAGAAGTAACAAGTTGTAGTCCCCCAAAACACATGAACTAAAGTACCACTTCTCTTCAAATGAGTAGTTATTCTCTAAGAATCTCACACAGTTACGGGACAGTGGTGGCGCACGCCTTTAAAACCCCAGCGCTCAAAGGCAGGGGCAGTCGGATCTCTGTGAGTTCGAGGCCAGCCTGGTCTACAGGTCGAGTTCCTGGACAGCCAGGGCTACACAGAGAAACCCTGTCTTGAAGGGGGAGGAAAAAAAATCCTGCAGAGAGAATTGATCTAATCAGTGTTCTACTCCTTCGTGATCAATTACTTTCCCAAGCAATAAGTACTCATCAGCCTAATGGTCAGTTTCTTTAACATCACACAAGTGTGTCTTTGTAGTGGCCTCATGACTCAAGGAGCATAGTTTCACCAAAAGACCACCAAACTCTACAGTTAAGTGTAAATGCACAGACCAAAGCGTTCCAAGTCAAGAGAGTCCCAACCACGCGGGAACTCATTCAGTGCTTCTGTGAAAAGGTGACTCCAAATGCCCTGCGACGGAAAACGGAGGCTAACACAAAACACTGCCCACCTGGATGATCCCTTTGTGAGGGGCTCCAATGCCCTGTCAAATGCCAGGGGCGCAAGAACAGAACTTAAGCAAACGGAAAAACCTGCAGTGGGGGGGAGGAAGGTGTGAGCTCACTTCCACAACTCAGGATTAAATAGATTCACATCAGGCAGGACAGAGCGGGAGTGTTTGTTAAACAGCGTAATGAGTAGCCCTGGAGACCGTCAGCAACCTACTCCCCTTAATCACAAAACCTCAGGACAGCTGCGGTCAAGGAAAGCCGGCCAGAGCCAGGAATGGTGTGCACACCCCGAACCAAAGTCATCTTCCCTTGAGAACCCAACAAGAACGCAGCATCCCTGGGGTGTGTCTCCTTCCAGGTCTAATCTCTAAGGCCATGAGGTCCCCAGCCAGCCCCTCCGATCCACTCCTGGGGGGAGGGGGGCCCGCAAGCCTGGGGAGAGAAGAACGCGGCTTTTGAGTTCCACGGGAGGAGAGAGGTAGTTGACATTTCGAATCCAATGAGTCTAGAAAACTATCAAAGTCAAAAGGACAGCATCCAGCCTTTCCTGTCTCGCCACACACCCCTAGGTCATGTTCTCCAAGCAGGCTTGGCTCTCACCACCGCGGACACCGAGTGTGGGAAGGACGGAAATGGAAGGCGGACAGTCCGCAAAGCGCCCCCAGGAGTGCGTCCGCGCGGGTCACGCCCGCTCCGGCTGCCCCTCAGACCTCCCCGGCTCCGCCCGCCGGCTCGTGGCCCCTCGCGCGCGGACTAGAAGTTTCGAGCGGCGCGGCCCCGCGCGCTCGGCCCCGGCGCGGCCTGACAGGGGTAGGCGCGGCCACCGACCCGCGTCCCAACCGTCGCAGCGTACCCCTCACCTCGGCCGCCGCTCGCCTCGGGTTCCGCTACGCACGCCGCCCCGGCCGGGCTGCGACTCCGACCCCTTTTCCGTTCCGCTCCGGCCGCGCTGCCCGGCCCTGCCCAGACCCGCCGCCGCTTCTGCCGCCAGCCGAGACCGCGCCGCCCCCGCCGCGCCCGCTGTGCTCGCCCTATTGGCTGCCTGGATCCAGGCCCCGCCCTACAGCTCCTCCGGCGCTCCGGATTGGACAGAGCAGAGCCAAGGCGGCACGCCCCCGAGCGCGCTCAAGAGGACTACCCTGCGTGAGTATTAGCGGCCTCCCCTGTCAGTCAAAGAGGAGCGCCTACTTAAGCCGCTGAGAGGCCAGCACGGGTCACTGCCCCGGAGCCGCCCGGTAGGATTTTCTTAGGCGGGCCGGGAGTTCTGTGGTTTTCCTAGCACCCGGGAGCGTTGCCGTGCCTGACTGGGAATTCAGATAAAATGGACTTTCAGAAAGTTTCCTCGGATCGGGAGAGAGTGCTGCTTTTCCAGAAGACCCGGATTCCATTCCAAGCACCCATAAGGCGATTCATCACCATCAGGAATTCCAGTCCAGGGAATCTGACGCCCTCCTCTGGCCTTTGTGGGCACCAGGCACGCACTTGGTGCGGACAGACATCAGCAAACATACACATAATTCTTTTATTTAAAAAGTTTCCTCCGGGCCAGGAGTGGTAGCACATGCATGCATTACCAGCTATCAGGAGGCCGAGGCGAGAGGACGTCTTTGCGTTCCAGGCTAGCCAACCCTAGCTAACACGTAGTGAGCCCTGTCAACAAAAAAGAGGAAGTGGAGTGGAGAAACTTCCCTCCAGAGGACAGAGATAATGGCCCTCAGGGCACCAGGCAGAGTGCAAACCTTTTGGTTCTGACAGTAGCCCTACTAACCTGATAAGGCCTTAGCCCCTGGAGCAGAAGGAAATGCTACCGAGTCAAAATGGCTAATGACTTCCTGAGCACTGCCTCACCCGTCTGAGAAGCTGAGAGCAGGTAACTTTCTGGGTACTGTGGTGTAGAGTTAAATAGCAGTGGATAAGGGCTTCTGATCCCAGTACTCAACAAGCTAACACAGAAGAATGGCTGAGAGTTCCAGGCCAGCCTGAGAACAGAGTAAGACGCTGACTAGAAGAACGAAAAGGAATAAATGGCCAGGCAAGCCAGGGTTACATTGCAAGACACTGACATAAATGAGTAAAGGCCCGGTGGGGAGGTACCTTTAATCCCAGCACTCGGGAGGCAGAGGCGGGTGGGAGGCAGAGGCGGATGGATCGCCCGCCCGTCAGGCAGATCGCTGAGGTCAGCCTGCCTGGTCTACAGAGTGGGTTCCAGGATAGGCTCCAAAGCTACACAGAGAAACCCGGTCTCAAACAAGGAAAAAAAAAAAAAAGTAAATGAAGCTAGATTAATTAGATTAATCCCAGCACTTGGGGAGACAAAGACAGGAGAATCATTGAAAGTTCAAAGTCATCCTGGGATACGTAATAAGACCCAGTCCCAACCTCCCTGCAAACAAAACTGTACAGAAAAGACAGGTGTGGTGGCACAGCACTTGGGAGGTAGAACAGCAGGGTCAGGAGTTTTAGGTCATCCCAGCTACCTACGAAGTCCAAGGCCAACTTGGGCTAGAGGAGACCCCGTCTTAAATGAAAATGTGCTGGGTTTTTGCGCACTCTTTTAGCCCAGAGGCAAAGGCAGGCGGATCTCTGAGGCCAGCCTGGTCTTTGGATCAAGTTCCAGGACAGCCAGAGCTACACGGAGAAACCCTACCTCAAAAAGCCAAAATAGTAATAAATAAATAAATGGCTGAGGAGATGCCAAAATAATAATAATAGATAGATAGATAGATAGATAGATAGATAGATAGATAGATAGATAGATAGATAGATGGCTGAGGAAATGCTCCATGGTTAAGCACTTGCCATGGACATGGACGAGAGTTTGAACCCCCAGGGCCTACACAGAAGTCCAGCCAGCACAGCTTGTCTGAAGAGTCAGGGCTGGACTAGCTGAATCAAGAAGCTCCAGGTTTAACAGATAATCTTGCCTCGGTGAACAAGAAGGAAATCCAACAAGGAAGATAACTCGATGACGACCTCTGGTTTCCACAGGCATGCACATACACATATGACTGTGCACACAAATGCACACCACACATGCACACACGGAGAGAGAGAACAGTGATGGAGCTCAGTAGACACAGTAAGTGCACACAAGAGGATCTTGAGTTTGAGGCTAGTCTGAGCAAGGTCAGCTGATGATGCAGACTCCTGTCCCTGGAAGTCCAAAGTTTCTCCCAAAGGCCCAAAGGTCTCTAACTCCGTCACTGTCTAATCATGACGCCTGTCTCCATTACACACTCAAATAATCTTGTTTCACACCAAGGCCTGGTGAGTCTAACCTCATCTGGACACCGGAAGTCACAGAGAAGTGTCAAGTCTGGTGCAGCCCACCAACCAGATACTTCCTCTGTCAGATGTAAATGTCTGCACAGACATCTCACAGTTTGGCCAAGTCCCCTTTACTCACATCCAACAGGTCTACCTTTGCCCCTCCAAACAAAGGATTTTTCATAAATCACCGATGCTCTTGGCACCTCTGCGTCCTGGTGTGTGGCTGGGATGGAAGACAGACCAGCTTTTCAGAGTTTGTGAGTAGGCGCTTGGAGAATGGCTCTTGGTCTCCATCTGTGACTGCCCTGTGTCTGAGGGAGTGACCACACACCCACACCCCTTTGCCACATCCTTCCCACATAAAGAACCCACTGTCACAGAGCTGTCAGGGTCAGAGGATGACAAAGTTAGTCCTTTATCAGCCATTTTATACCATACAGCCTGGATTAAAAAGTCTAATTAAAAAACACTTTGGGTTTTGTTGTTGTTGTTGGTTTTCTGTTTTTGTTTGTTTGTTTGTTTTTTGAGACAGGGTTTCTCTGTAGTTTTTTGGAGCCTGTCCTGGAACTAGCTCTTCTAGACCAGGCTGGACTCAAACCCACCTGCCTCTGCCTCCCAAGTGCTGAGATTAAAGGCATGCACCACCACAACCCAGCCTAAAACACACTTTCAAGAGGCTGGCAAGATAGCTCAGAGGTAAAGGCACTTGCTGCCAAGCCTAACTGTAATAATCTGTCCTGTCCCTTTAAGAGACAAGCCCCCCCACACACACACACACCACACCCACCCCTGTCCACTGAGGCAGGCAGATCTTCTTTCTGGCTTGCAGCCTGAGTCTCTTCCTTTTCCCTATCCCTCTCAAAGAGGCTTCTGTCTCTCCCCACTTCTCCCCTTATCCCTTCTGTCTCTCCCTCTCTCTCTGCTCTTCTCACTCTTCTCTCCTTTCCCCTCTATAACCCACTAAATAAATATCCAGCCTCACTCTGCATGGCGTGCCTATCCATGTCTCTCTCTGTCTCCTGCCCGCTGTGTGGCTCCCTGCCTGGGACCAGCCACCTTCAGAGACCTGCAGCATGGTCCCATGGTGTGCCCATCTGTCTGTCTCTCCTCATGGCCTGCTGCAGCCACTCAGGGAACTGCACCATCCCTGCCTGGGACTGGCTGCTCTCAGGACCCGCTGTTCACTGCCTGCCACCACATGGCCCACTGCCACCACTTGGGGACCTGCAGTGTTTCTGCTGCTGCAGCTGCCAAGGATCTGCAGCATTTTTTTTTAATCCATTACACTAACAATCTTAAATTTGATTTCCAGGTCCCACATGGAAGGAGAGAACAGACTGGCTGCAAATTATCCTCTTGACTTTTATCAATATGTTATAGTACATGCATGGCTACACACACACACACACACTAAATAATAAATAAATAAATAAATAAATAAATAAATAAATAAAATCCAATAAAGTAAAACAAAATAAAAAGCAGGTTCCAGACTGGACATAGTAGTGCCTGCCTATAATCTCAGCACATAGAAAGTAGAGGCAGGAAGATCAGGAGTTCAAAGTCATTCCAACTACACAGAGAGTTCAAGGTCAGCCTAGGCTATGTGAGACTTTGTCTTAACCCTCCCTCAAAGAGAACCCTCATATTTTCACAATGACCAAAATATTTTCAATAAATAAATAAAACACCCTGAGCAAGCTTGTATCGCTGGTAATATAGTCCCAGTAATTCCAAAGTCTAGAATAAGGAGAGACATCCAGGTATAGTGTCTTTAATCCCAGGACTCTGGGAGGCAGAAGTAGGCAGATCTCTGTGAGTTCCAGGCCATCCTGGTCTACAGAGTGAGTTCCAGGTCAGCCACAGATACACAATGAGACCCTGCTTCAACTAAACAAAACAAACAAACAAAAGAGGCGGCCGCAAGGGGTGGCTCTCATGTGTTTGGTGACTGTAGCAAAGACAAGGAAGGGACAACAATATTAAACAGTAACAGTTTACTGCCCAAAATTGGGTAGAGTGTGACAAAGAGCAAAGGTGACATTTTACTGCCCCAAGATGGTTAGAATATAACAAAGAGCAGAGACCTCCCAGAAAGCAGTGAGCCCTACAGGGAGGAAGGGGTTCTTCTTGGCTGGAGCATTTCAGGCATGCAAGAAGCAGGGGTGCCTGGGTTAGGGAGGGTAGCTTGGCAGCAAACAGCCACTCCACCCTGCAAGTTCCTTCCCTTCTTTGGGGCGCAATTTTCTCAGTTGTAAAACAGATAAGTCCAGGAAAACCAGGACTCGTGAATTTAAGCCTGCCTTGCTCTGAGGATAACCTGCGAGTACTGAATATGTCCCAGGAGCTCTACAGCCTGTAAAACTACTTCCACCTTTGCTTATTTTGTTTGAGGCCACACTGACTTCAAGCTCACAGAGATCTGCCTCCTAAGTGCTGGAATTGAAAGATACGCACTACCAAACTCCACCCAACTTTCAATTCTTTTAAACTGGGATTGGCATCAGGAGGGATAGCTCAGTGGGTAAAGTACTTATGATGCAGACGTGAAAGCTCTGAGTTCCAGTTCCCAAAAACCATCTAAAAAGCCAGATGGAGTAGCATGTGTGTGTGTGTGTGATCCCAGTGCTAGGAGAGAGGCATTAGAAAGATTCTGGGGGACTTTCTAGACAGCCAGACTAACTGAAAGAGCAAGCCCCAGATTCAGTGAGAGACCCTGTCTCAA